TTAGGGGAGTTTCTAGGTAATCTAAGCTCTAACTGTCGGGACCATGCTGGCATTTGCATACGCCCTCCTGTCCAAAAAATATATCACCTTCGTTGATTGTCCAGTGGAGTGTTGCTTTCCTACCGAATTCTATCCAGCCTATCTTATTACCTTTGACTCCTAACAATTGAGTTCTACTATTTGAACTGTCTTTTACACCGAAATAATTACATTTTCTGCTTCCTTGTATCTCCGCGTTTACAGGCTCCTGACAAACATTTCCTATTGAAACATTTTTCCCAGTTGGTTTTTAAAGATTCATACAGAAACAATGATTTATTTAATTTTTTTTAAATAACTACATTTCACTATTTTTGGCAACGATCGGCAGGCCACTTTCTGGGCCTCTGCGGGCCAGATTTGGCCCGTAGGCCGCCAGTTGAATAGCCCTACCCTAGGTCCTGGATCATAGGCTCCTTCATGCGGGTCACCCCATGTCCTCTCTTCCTATGTTTAAAATTTCATTCTGTAGCCTCCTTCTCCATGCATTTTTGTTATTATTCGGCCCTCATTTCTGTGCAGTTGTGGTTCCATTTGCAAGGACATTCTAGTTGTATTGTTCTAAGGGTGTCTCATCGTGTGTTCTGTCCAACGTCAGCGTCTCATCTTCACCTCTTGATTTACTAGAATTTGTAGTTTTCTCTAGCATACTTAGCATACCAGTTAATTCCCTTTATTTCGCGAAAGCACCAGTTTGTAGTTATTTGGTCAGGAGACAAAACACACGTACTGACAGAGAGTTGGAGAGGGAGACAGGAACAGACATATGCACATACACGGGGGTGGGGGGTTGTTTGAAAAAAGTAAGAGAGGTGGATTTAAAAAAAAGAAGGGGGGGGGGGGGGGGTCTTATTTGCCATGTCGTTCTCATCATAGCTGGAGACGTCTGGGTCAAAAGTTGGGTAATTATACCGGATTTCCTGATCTCACATCCAGCATGTTTTTATGTCAAGGAAACCATTAATGAGCCACACATGTCGTGTTTACATAATGCCCCGCGGAGTATTAGCGTTGATCGTTTAACGTCATTCAACAAGAACGTACACATACATACACACAGTCACACATATAATGGTTTATCTTGCCCCATGATATCCCACACAAAAGACCGCACACGCACACATAGTCACACGCATAAAAGTTTGTCTTGCACTATGATGTCCCACACAAAAGAGCGCACACACAACTTGGCGGCACTAATTGCCCATTTGTGTGGAACGGGCGTATGTGACAGGCGTCTTATTATAAAAGCAAGCACAGGAAACGAAGGGCCATCACGTGAACATGGCGAACATTGAATTCAACGAAGGGCATGGTAATTTACTCCAGTAACAGTTTTGTTGTCGATGTCTGTGGCTTAGGGGTGGTGAAAACAGTTTCATAATGCGGACATCCTGGGATTGGAAGTCAGTTGCAGGCGATTTCATAGCAGACCGCTTTGCGTTATCTGCAACAGTATAAGCGTGACACCGCACAGAAGTTAACCGCTGGATGAAAATCTCCTAGTATAACCCATGCGACAGCTGATAATACTTCAGAGATAGTTTGCGACCTCCAGGAAAGGGACAGACAACTTTAGGTAGCTGATGACTGTCAGGAAACCGTGTTGAATGGCAGAAACATAATGTCGGACACTGATTTCTGTTTTTATCCCCGCTGTCCCGTTATTCGACACACGGGGCAATAATAGATACCACAATTGGCTATCCTCCGAATAACGGGCACATATTATGATGGCCAAAAACAGGGCCTCAGTCACGTGTCAATTGTGCACTTCCGGTGACCTAATTTGCGGTTTTCCGGCGACTAACGCCACCGCTGAGAGTATCCCCCTCATCTCCTGCAGCTTTGCTCGTGAGTCCCAGCCATCTAGTTTAGCCCCACGCGGCGTGGGGGGATACTTTCGGCGGTGGCGGTAGTCGTCGGAAAATTAGGTCGCCGAAAGTGCACGTGACTGAGGCCCTGTTAGGGTTTTTTGCAGCCACCATTATATGTGCACATTATTCGGAGGATAGCCCACAATTTCGTTCTACTCTGTGCAGTTCTTTTTGAAATCATTTATGGAACATCTTTGTCCTTTCTCATCAATGTTCCTCATATGGATTCTTTTGGAGGTTGTCGTTTCCTTATTCCACTTGTTTCCCATTTAATTATTTGTTTTGTGATTCTTTGCTCGTCAAATCATTTATTGGCATTTACGAAATAACAATCCCACAGAACACAACTAATTAAATATATATACTTATTGCAATAAGCCTGTAACAATGGAAACATGTCATATATGATCTTTCACTTTCCGCCCAGCTCGTCCTAACTCTCTGGATCACTCCCCAACTATGTGTCTATGTCTGTGATGACCAGTCAGGATGTTCTCCATTACAGCTGCTGTGTTTCATTGACTGTCTGTGCGTCTGTTAATTAATCAGTCATTAACTAAGTTATTGACTCTGTTTCTTTGTCTAATTAGCGGACCCCTTTTCATAACAATAGACTTTCTGTCTAATAATCTTACTCTTCATTATTCATACTGCCTGACTAATTATCTGGAGCCGACTTTGCATTTACTGTTGAATTGACTTTTTATTGACTGTCTGCATGTCTCTTAAACTGACTTTACATTGTCTGCCTACCTTTCTGGGGGAGCCGCTGTGGTGTAATGGCTAAATGCTTGCCTGCGCATCTGATGGGTTTAAATCCGAATGGAGCCGACTTTTTTCAGAAATGACATTGGCTCACATGTCGACCCAGCTATGAGTGGGTACTGGTGAGGTCCTGGAAATTAAAGGCGGTTGGCGCTATGGCGACCACATCAACAGAGGAAGTTAGTATTGTTCTTGCAGATGTGTTAGTATTGTCCCTGCAAATGTGTTGGTATTGTTGTTACAAATGTGATAGTATTGTTCTTACAAATGTGATAGTATTGTTCTTACAAATGTGATAGTATTGTCCTTACAAATGTGTTGGTATTGTCCTTACAAATGTGTTGGTATTGTTCTTACAAATGTGTTGGTATTGTTCTTACAAATGTGTTGGTATTGTCCTTACAAATGTGTTGGTATTGTCCTTACAAATGTGTTGGTATTGTTCTTACAAATGTGTTGGTATTGTCCTTACAAATGTGTTGGTATTGTTCTTACAAATGTGTTGGTATGTCCTTACAAATGTGTTGGTATTGTTCTTACAAATGTGTTGGTATTGTCCTTACAAATGTGTTGGTATTGTCCTTACAAATGTGTTGGTATTGTTCTTGCAAATGTGTTGGTATTGTTCTTGCAAATGTGTTGGTATTGTCCTTACAAATGTGTTGGTATTGTTCTTACAAATGTGTTGGTATTGTTCTTACAAATGTGTTGGTATTGTTCTTACAAATGTGTTGGTATTGTCCTTGCAAATGTGTTGGTATTGTCCTTACAAATGTGTTGGTATTGTCCTTACAAATGTGTTGGTATTGTTCTTACAAATGTGTTGGTATTGTTCTTACAAATGTGTTGGTATTGTTCTTGCTGGTGTGTTGGAATTGTGTCTAGAGACTAAAACATCTTATAAAAAAAAAAACCCTTAAATGTGTCAAGATAGTTCTGTTTTTATTTTTAAATACTCGAAAAAATGTAATTAGACCTGACTCGAATGAAACTTTCTTCATTGCAATAATTTTTTATTCAAAATCAGTTTTTAAAGGTAAATTTCAAACATTTGTGTTTGTTTTTGTTAACTTAAATTGTGCCATATGGCGTATATGCACATCATCAGTAATATCTACTTTTGCCTTCATGCTCTGTTTGGGGGAACAGTTTGCGATCCATTGTTGAATGGGTAGCAATGGTTATTGTCATTCTGTGTGGATATAGAAGGTCTGTAATGTCATCAGTCCATATCTGTGGCCACCTCTTGTTTTCATATCCAATCTTTTCAAGCGGTAGTTCGTGTATTGGTAGTTGCTGTAGCTGCATTCTGACTCAATGTCCTCCTAGAATGTAGTTACCAGATATTTAAATTCTTTAACCTGCCTCAGACAAGTACCATTGACCCTGTCTGTTGCAGACTACAAATTCTACTAACCTGCATTACTTCAGTTTTAGTTGTATTTGCTTTCATTTTGTCTATGAGTTTACAGCTGGTGAACCTGAAGAAGAAAAATCAGTTATATGTGTGTGCATGTGCACAGGTGTGTGTGCTTGTGCGCATGCATGTTTGTGTGTGTGCATGCACATGTGTTTGTTTTAATGTGTGTGTGTGTGAAGGGTGTGTGTGGTGGGTGGGTTTGTCCTTATGTAAAAGTGCACACATGTATGTGTGTGATTGGTAAGGGATGTCTGTATGCATATAAGTGTGTGTGTGTGTGTGTAAATATAATTTTGTGTATATAGCTTTATGAATTATGTGTGTGTGTATATAAATACGTGATTGTATATGGTTGGATGAGGGGGGCAGGGGGAGAGAGAAAAATAAAGAAAAAAAATAAAAGAATTAAAGAAAGAAAGAAAGAAAAAGAGAGAGAGAGATTTAAAATACAGATTCTTAACTATGCATGTCTTGTTGTGCATGTAAATTTGCACTCATTTACGCTGACTTATTTATGTCTGTGGGCTGAGTTCATGTGTTGAGGCAGACACAAAGCCAAACAGAGATATGTCATCTATAGCAGGGATTCTCAAACTTTCTTGTGGGGCTAAATAAAATTTGCGGCACACCTACACTTAAAGTGGTTGAAAAACTAGGGAAAGAAGGAAAAAATGTAGGAGAGAATGATCTCTCACCCCAGGGTACCGTGGCACCCATTTTGAGAACCTCTTATCTATAGTATCTGGTAACAGTATTCATTACAGGGGAGGGGGAGGGAGGTTCTTTATGTGAAATCTCATACGCAGAGTGAATTATAATGAATAGTTGCATATTTGCCACAAGAGAAAATAAGTATAAATATTTGTAATGGTTGCTGCAAACTTTTTTTTAAAATCTAGGGGACAATGAAGAGAAGTCTACTGCAGCGGTCTCTGAACTCTCCAAGAAAGACAAAGCTTCTCCTAGTCTTGAGAATGTCAACACACACAGAAACGTTTTAACCATAAAGAATTTAGAAGAAAGCCAAACAAACAATAATAAGACATTTAACAGCATAGAAAGCCTGCCAGGAAAAGAGTAAGTTTTGTTGTTTTGATAGTGTTTGACGTGACCAATACTTGTGCTTCTAAAAAAGTTGATCAAGCCTGTTAGGTCTGAAACTGTTTGTGTGAAAAGGTCTGAAACTGTTTGTGTGAAAAGGTCTGAAACTGTTTGTGTGAAAAGGTCTGAAACTGTTTGTGTGAAAAGGTCTGAAACTGTTTGTGTGAAAAGGTCTGAAACTGTTTGTGTGAAACTCTATGCGCAATTATTACCAATTGGGGTACCTTGGATGTGGCCCTAAAAATGGATGTATTCTAGATGTATACTGCTGGGTTCATGAATTGACAATCAGAACAAGCAGTTATGTATGCCGATGATCTGGCGCTACTGAGTTCAGAGAAGGACACTGGAAAAGCACAGACAAGTCTTCAAGAATCCCTCGGAACTCTAGAGAAGTGGTCCAATAGTTAGTACTTGCCTGTAAATGGGGCCAAAACCACACACACCATTTTCAGTCTTTCTACCAAACCCCAGAAAGTTTTACTTACATATGGCAGCCAGGCACTGAAACACGATGACTCACCGTCATATTTAGGAGTAACCTTTGACCCAAGACTCACATGGAGAAAACAGATAGAAAAGACACAGAGCAAGGGACTCAAGAGAACCCAACTGATGAGAAAGTTAACTGGGGGGGGGGGGGGGGGGGGGGGGGGGCAAACCTCATTGTCCTCAAGAGGACCTATACAGGATACGTGAGGCCAACACTAGAATATGGAATAGCTGCTTGGGGCATAGCAGCTAAATCAAATTTTCAGAAAGTCTCAAAGATCCAAAACCATGCTCTCCTTATTATGACAGGGGCCATGCACTCCACACCTATATCAGACATGGAGACAATTACTGGTCTCCTTGATCAGGAAGACAGGAGAGACACAAAGCTCCTCATCCAGCTCTCCAAATACCTCCACTTTAAAGAACAACCCATGCACAGCCAACTGCAGAAACCCCAGAAGGCCAGACTAAAGAGAACCTGTTTCATTAAGAATGCAAATGCCACGCTCGCTGTCCTTAAACTCCCTCCCATAATACCAAGTGTTCCACTGAAACCTTACAATGACTGCCCCCCCCCCCCCCCCCCCCCCCCCATTAATACAATCTAGTATCCAAGAAAGATGGCTGGATACCCACACCAGATTTTCTCCCCAAGACTCACTTCATCGCCTCTCTAGAGAGGGACAGTATATTATATTCAGACTAAGGACTGGGCACAACAGATTTCGTCAACATATGTTCAAATTTTCGGTGTAGGAAATACGGAGTCGTGTCCCTGCAGTGTGGCACCCGAAAATGCTGAGCATGTGCTCCAACACTGTCAACTGTATGCTGACAACAGAGACGCAATCTGGCCTGTTCCAACCACAATGAAGACAAAACTGTATGGTACACGAGAGGATATGGATTGCACGATAGCTTTCATAAAGGCTACCGGCCTCCTGATATAAGTTTTCTGACAGAAGGATCGAAGAAGAAGAAGAAGAAGAAGAACAATTTTACACGTTGGTTGATCTGGAGAGAGTTCATAATGCAGCACCTGTTGTGGCGGCAGCAGCAGCAGTGACGACAGACTATTGTTTTGGTGGCTAGAATGCAACAGTGTCTGCTAGAATGGTCGTGAACACATCGCGACCTGCATGTTCAGTGCATCTACACAACTTAAACTTGGACATGTAAGAGTCTAATAAATGTCTGTGGGTCCCATTTTGCCGCTTATTTCTCTTCACATGTGCTCAATGCTTAGCGTATGCACACCTGTGTTGGGATTGACAAAATTGATGGAGTGATTGACAGTGAGATGCGTCAATCTATTAATATTCTCAATTTCATTGAATGCACACCACAGGTCTGAGACTACTGTCGTGCTAGGTCTAATGTTTTTGCTAATGATCGGGAGAAGTGCCTCTGCTATTCTGTCTGGAACGCAGAACATAAAGCACTCTTCTGTTTTGTGACAGATGCCACCATATACCTACTGTTGTGGAAACACTCAGCCTACATGATTTTTCAGCTTTGCAAACAGTTTCATCAATTTTAACAGTGGTGTTCTCTCCACCGATCACTGCAGGATTCAACAATAATGTATTGGCACAAACCTCCCGTAAGTTGTTGCTCCTCTCCACATTTGTATTCTTTGACATGCCTCCTCTACTTGGCAAAATTCAGGGCTTGTCAACTCGTGACACCAGTAGTACAGGAACAGAATGTTCTGTCTGTAAGGCAGGCACAACCCTTTGAGCCATGTTCCTTGCCTTAACTGTGTGTACAGACGACAGGTTGGCTTTCCACACTACCATCGGTTGTGGCTTTCAGCCAGCGATAACACCATCACATGATTGTTACGACAGTGTCTGGTACTATCAGAATGCCATGATGTTGCAGGAAAGCAACGGTGCTGTTCTTGTCAGGCACTGATGCTGCTAATTCAAGGAAATTCATGGCGATGAAGACTGAACACAAGCTGCCGGAGAGATGCTGCAGGAGGAAGAAAGATTCAAAAATCTTGGCAACGCCTTGGAAGACACACAGAAAGCCTGGAAAAAAAAAAAAACCACAGACCGGTTTGGGAAACCTGGTCTTACCACCCTGGAAAATATTGAACTGTCTGGTGATGTCATTTGTGGTCAGCTATTGGGAAACAACCAAAAGAATTGACCCCCACACTCCCCCAACAAATATGTCATAAAAGTCGACTAATTAGTGATGTTTCCTTTAAAGTTAGGAGTGCATCTGCCTGAAAGATGAGGAACCAACAGTCTGCATACAAATAAGCCAGATCTGTAAAATAGAAGTGCACACTAAATTAAAGTTCTGGAACAAGACCTAAAGTCCATAAGTGTGCAAACAATAAGCACATCCCAATAGAGTTTACAGCCTGTGAAAGCGAAGAGGAGTTGAATGTTGTTGAATTAAGAATCAACATCACAGCAATTGGGACACTCCCATAAGTGCTATGTCCCCATTTTCAGCAGCAAGCGAAGAGTTCCAATTCCAGTGGTACCAGTAACCCTCTGATTGCATATCTGTCTCATCCTTTCCCTGAGTGTTGAGCATCGGCCAGATCCCCTGGTAACTCCTCGCAGTGCCATTTTTCTTAGACCATAATGATCTCTCTGTGCCTCCGCACTGTTCACTCGCTCCCAAAGGGCCCTTACAAAATGCTTGTCATACATCAATTCACTACCAAGTTATGCAGAGCCAGCCAGTCTATCTGCCTGCTCATTTCCCAACACACCGGCATGACCTGGAGAACGTGAAGAAGAGTAAGGAGTACATCATGACAGCTGCAGTGATTTTATAAAATGATGCATCTCTGCCCTTCACTGTGGTATGAAATGAGATGTAATATATCCTACAACATCTGCTTTAATGAAATGCTCTGTCTCCTGATACCAGGATCAGAATATACAAAACACTCGTGGATAAATCCAGTTGTCCTAAATGGCCCTGAAAGCTGGGGTGCAACTAAACAAGACTAAAACCTTATTACAAACTGTTAAGGACAAATCCTTGAACCCATCAAATGTGAAAACAGCAATAAAGGAAAAGGAAGAAGCAGCAGTGAAATTCATAATCTCTGTAGCCCTTTCACCCTAAGAACTCTTTAAAAACATGTTAAGACTTCCCATTAGCATTCCTGAAAAAGAAACAGTTTTTACACAGGTCCTAATAAATTAATTAAAATTTATATATCGACATTTTAATATTATATTTCAAATTAAATAAAGATATATGAAAGAAGTAATCAATAAACGAAGAGATGAAGCATTAAATTAGGGCCTAAAAAACATACGTGTATCGGGTAATGCCGAGACCCCATAACCTTTATCACTGATGCCTATGGGAAAATATGATGTCATCTTGACTTTAAAAAAGCCAGTACAGAGAAAAAACCTCTGAATGCTATTGTTAGTTAATTTATTCATATCCTGACCTCCTAACTGTTTGCTTAGACTGTGAGGCAGACCAAGAAGATAGTGGAGAGATAATATTCGGGTTGACCAACAAACCTTGGTCACCAGTTGGAAAGAGAAGATCAAACAGAGATGAAAGGAAGTGGGTGATATCTGCAACAATGAACCTTAACTCTTGCAGTCCCAGACAGTTGTACTTTAATTTGTTGTGGTTTCAAAAGGTTTTGCCATCATATTAATAAGTTGTTTTGTCTACAGCGGTTAAATACTAAAACCCCATGACAGGAAGGGTTCAGGTGGCAATTGTTATATAGTGTGTTCATGTAACCGATGGCTTAGGAGCCAGGGGTTGAAACAATAAAATCACGAATACAGTAACCTACAGGTGCACGGTGAGTTCCTTGCTACTGAAAATGACTTTAGGGCTTGAAATGTGAAGAATCTACACTTCTTCTCTTTATATCTCCCTGTATACCTTTAGTCCATTTATCTGTTTGCCTTTGATTCCTTCCCTGTCAGTACATAACAGTGTTTTTTTGTTTTTTTGTTTAAAGAAAAAATGCAATGAATTCAAGTTTGGTGTCTGCTTCCAGCAGCTCAGTGAAAGAACTTGTGTCTGTGGAATCCGAGCAAGTTTATGAGGAAGTAAGTTATCAGTTTTCAAACAATGCCAGGCTCAGAAATACACACTTTAATATCATTAACATTTCTCCAGCTAGAAGTTTATCTGTATGAAATTGAGTTTGTGATATTTTCAACACATGAATTCTGTTTAATTTTAACAATTTGAATAGTTTTGATTTGGTAAAATTCAAAGGCGATTGGCACTTTAAGCATAGTTCCTTGAGTTGAGTTTTAAAAGCTTGAACAAAATATGGAACTATAAATTATATAGTTATATAACCATTGTGGTGTACAAGGGGCTTTAAATCAAAACCTTAAAGGTGTATTAAAAGTACAATAACCATGTCATTTTCTTGTAACCTGTCAGTATTGTTGTTAAGGTTGTCAAGAGTGTTAAGCATTGAAATCACAGTACAGATAAGTTCACTGACATCCTAATGA